CATGCAAATAAGCAGGAATGTAAATGTGTGCATGCCCAGCTACACATATACACACCACAGAGAGAAAGAGAGTGATATCTATACCTACAATCTATATCTATCTATCTATCTATCTATCTATCTATCTATCTATCTATCAATCATCTATCAGTCAGATGATTAACCTATCTATCGAGAAGTCAGTGATACCCAAGTCTCAATTTTTTTTTTAGAATTTAAAAATATCTCAAACTGCAAGGGATTGATTACCTTTATGAACCCTTATTTTATAGGTGAACAACAACAAACAGAGCAACCAGAAGATTAAGGAACTATTTCTTGCAATACACACACACACACACACACACACACACACACACACACACACACACACACATATGAGACTCAGGTTTTAACATCCATTTTCTTGAAAAGTTAAAAATTCCTTAATTTTTTATTCCTGGTACCACTACCATCTCTTAAGTTTTCTCTATGACCCATAAAGATCCACTTCCATGACCTCTCTGTGATCCAGCAGACTGCATCTATTGTTTAGAAAGGGCATTTTTCACTTCACAATTATACCCATTAATAGTGTAGTATTTCCGAACAATTTTATCAACTGTGTCATGATCATCAAAAATTACAAAAGCAAATCCTTCTTTTTTCCACTTTGCCTGTCTTTCATAACTTCTATGGTTTCAATCTTGCCATACTTTTCAAAGTAGACTCTCAGATTACATTCTTCTGTATCTTCTTTAATACCACCAACAAAAATTTTCTTCACTGTAAAATGGGCACCAGGCTTTCCAGAATCCTCTCTATAAAACAGCTCTCTTTGGTTCCACCACATGCCCGTCAACCTTGTGTGGTCAAGCACGCATTGCAACATCCACCTCTTCAATTCAAGATTAGGTCATAAAACCAAAACCCCTGCAACATTTTATTAGGGATCTCTCATTACCACACAGTCGGTAAGTGTGCCTACTTTTTCAAAATGTTCTCTTAAGCTATCATCTGTGGTTTCAAGCTCAGACCATCAATAAACAGCAACTGTTCTGGATCCTTTGGATCATGGCCTTCCTCCACCGGGTGACGGCAATGGCCCGAGTCAGGCAGGGGGCACATTTTGACATACATTAATGTAATGAAGGTTATTCATGAAATAAAATTAGTTAAATTATGAGATTCAATTCAATCTTTGAACCTAGATACCAATGCTTCCTTTTGATAAGTCACAATCTGTGAGCAAGGATTCTGATAACAACCATGTGTTGTTTGGCTTCAGGTATTTGTGGATACTTTTCATTCTAAGCAGACTAACTTCATTCTTATTTATAGAAGAATGCAAGTAAAATAAACAGAACTTGTCAGAACAGCCCAAATCCCTCATAGAATGGTGGAGATATTGCTTCTGTATTGTCCAAAATAGGCGCCAATACAGATCATCAACCATTTTTTAAAAACTTTTATTCTTCTCTCATACATTACAGCACCTCTCCCATGCCTCCGACTTCACTCACTCTCTCCCCTGTGCCCCGGATTAACTCCTCCTCTGTTTCCTTTTAATAAAAGAACAGGCCTCCCAGAGTTATCCACCAAGCATGAACTAACAAGATGCAGTAAGACTTGGTATATACCCTCATATCATGACTGGTTGTGGCAACCCAGTAGAGGAAAAGGGTCCCAAGCAGAGGCAAAAGAGTTGGAGACACCCTCTACAACTTTGAGTGAAAGACAATGCATGGTCTAAATGTCATAGCACTGGTACTGGTACCAAAACTCAAAGAAAACCTGATTGTTAACAAAAGAGCCATGGATGTGTTTTTCCAACAGTTCATTGATCACTTTGGTACTTTATCCAATAGTTTGTGTTGCAACCGATCATCCAAATAAACTTTACTTCTGGTTCTTCCCATCCATTTTGTTTTAAAGGCTTAAATCTGAACTTCTTTTTATGACTCTAAACTTGGGCCCACTAAAAGAGAACTAGAAGAGAGTGTTTCTAATTATTTTTTCCAGCCACTCATCTGATGCCACTAAACTCTTGAATGAAAGATCTACTGGAACTATCTAAGGAAGCCCACCTTCTTGGTTTGCAGAGATTTCTCTATGACAAGTTATTTACACTGCAGAGATTGCCTTGATCATCATGAATTTGATTGACATCTGCCTCCACAGTCCTGCTCACATTCTCAGTTCTCATAGAAACCATTTTACGTAATCATTTGCACACAAATGATTACTTCAAGTGCATCTTTTGGTCAGATAATTACTAATGACTAATATTAAAACTACTTAGGGCCCATGCATATGTCTATTCATATGTATGTATATTTACTACAATCCTTTCTCTTTTATCCCTCTGTCCAAGTTTCTCTGTCATTTTACCAATAACCAAAATTCATCTTATATATCATCTTATATATCTCACTTACATGCATAATTGCACACAAGTGCATACAAATGGGAGAATGCTTATGCTTCTCTGTGTGTGGGTTTACTAAATGGTATTTATGCTACCACTGATGAAAAAATGTAATTTTAGTGAATTCTACTGTAAGCTTTCCCAGTTAGTATTTATAAAATTATTTTCTCAAGAGGAAAAACTGTATTATAAATACAGGTATGTAAAATGTAATTTTAGAATGTGAAGTCATAATAGAGAAAAATGTAATACTGTCACTCATTTTGTGCTTTATTTGCAAGGTTGTGACATTTTAACATCTTCAATGGTTTGGCTGCATGTTTGTATGTATGGAAAGAACAGCATTTTACTTGTTCATGCCCATCTCTTCTGCTCTTGTTCTGGTATTCTGCATTGTACTATAGGCTAAGAATATTTTTCCTCAGACTAACCTAGCTTTTTTTAATACTTATTTGGCATTTTTACCTTTAGGTCTGCTTATAATTAATATTTACAACCACCAGAAAGTTGGTACATTTATTACCATTTTGGCAAATGTGACTTTAAATAAAGAAAAGAGATATATTGACATTTTTTCCTAGCCAGAAGCATAATAAGAGACATAATCAGAACATAACTTAGAAATCTTTGGCTCCAACTGCATATTTAATCTACTATCAATGAAGTCTGGGTCAATAGCATATTTTATAAAACAAACACCTTTTTAAAAAAATTATATTTCCCAACTTCAAAGTAAAACTTAGTAAGGCACATTAAAAGTCAATATAGATATCATGTTAATTTCTATAACTTAGAATCAGTGGTTTTCAGATTATTTAATTAGATAAATATGCTTCTTTGTTTTACTGATTATGCCTTTTGTTCATTGGAAACATTGTAGGTTATAGCCAACCTAAAATCTGTAAGGCAAATGACCTTAAAATGAGCCAGTGATTTTTCTGTGTGTAGAATATAACACAGAATACAGAATACTTTCCTGAAACAGAAATGTTTCAGATTTGAAAAATTTATTTTATATATGCATGCATGTTGCCTTTTGCATAGGCAGGCATTGTAGGTACATGAAGATATGTTTCAAATACTGGGACACACACACACACACACACACACACACACACACACACACACACACACACACATCTTTGTACATGCTGCAGGTTGTAACCTTTGCAAAGCTAGCCCATAGATATGAAGTGTCTTTTCCTTGATTCAGACTACATTTGCTCAGTAGTAGAATGGGTTCCATTTTTCCTTCTACCCTGTATTTCTTTAGGGAAGACTTGAATGTGTTTACGATTTGCCCCCCTCAGACATAGAAAATGACAAACCACAATATGCTGCTTTGGGGTTCCAGTGGACAACACTGGAGGGTCAGCAAATGCAGGGAAATCCTTTATTTCCCAAAGACCAGAACTCCAATTCATGTCATGAGCTTCCTTTAAGCAAGGAAGACCAAATGTTTATCATGGAAGATGATATTAAAAAGGTGAACATGTAAAGCCCAGAGGAACCCTGACAGAAGTCATTGTCTCTTCTTTGGATCCAAGAAAATCCATTTTCTACCTTTCTTGAATCACCTGTATCTACTGTTTCCCTTCCTGTTATGAATTAAGAGCTTAAGTTGCAACCACTGGGGTGGTCTTTGAGTTTTATACATCCTGCGTCTCTTATACAAAGATGTGCACTAATAATTATGTATGCCTTTTCTCCTGAAAATTTGCGGTCAGTTACTTCAGCAGATCAAATGTAAACAAGAGCGGGCAAGTTTAAACATCTCTTTATTTCTGATAAATTCTAGAAGTCTCAATCATATTTTTCTGTCGTAAACTCAGGCTAATATATGCAAATTTTACCTTAACTAAAATAATAATTCTGTCTTCAATAATATTTTCAAAGTATTATAATACTAGTTCAAGGAATGTATCAGAAATGACCATGCAATAGCTATGCCAAAATGTCATAATGGTAAATAATTGGGAGAAGGGATAGCACAAAGAAGAATTTCAAATTTAATATAGGATGTTTATGACTTGGGAAACTATAATAAACGAGAATAATTCAAAATAACAAAGTAGAAATTAGATTGATTTTGCTAGCTTTTTTACAAAATAAAACAGCTGACCTGAATATAAAGACAACATTTAATTCATTTATTCTTTAAATCACTCTTTCCAAATTATAGTGGACTGTGACATTAAACTCATTGGCAAAATATTTGCACTGCCCGTTCACCTACGTCAGAGGAATTCAGTCTTGCTGTTCCTTCTCGGCAGGATTTTAGGTAATGTAGAACACAGAAACTCTAAGTTGAAGATGTTATCAATTATCGCTATATTATAAGCCTCCCTAGAGTAGGCCCTGAAAAACATGAGCATCTGGTACTTTCTACTTTAATGTGGCATAAAACAAAATAAACTAATGAAGAAATTATGAGCACAATGGGACGTTAGAGAGGAGTCAAAGATACAGTGATGATGGAGTTAGGAAAAAAAACCAAATTTCAATCTAAACTACAATAACAATATATAACGTAAACACATATGCATATATGCATGTAAATTCAGAGTTCTAGGAAGTGGTAAATGAGACCTACTTTTTCATAGTACTTGATCTCATAGTCCAGGACAGCTCCATTGGAAATAGCAGGTGCTTGCCACGATAGGGCCAGGCTGTTTTGGGATGCCCAGTCCTTTCTCACCATACCTATCAGAGAAGGTGCTATAAGGAAAGGAAAAAAAAAATAATTGATTAGTAGGGATAATTTTAAGTCTGTGAATATATGCTATGTCGCTTCCAAAGAAAATACCTTATTTTGTGTAGAGGATACCAACTGCCAATGCCAAATTAATAAAATAGGCTCAGAGTATATTCCACTCAATCAAATAAGGGGCTCAATTACTTAGAAACACCATGAAGAAATAGAGGAAACACTCAGATATTTCAAGATGAAAGCCAGAGCTCATTTGCCTCTGGTTTTGACAAGGAGGATGTTTTTCCTCAAACTTGGTTTGGTTTTGGGTTTTAACCAGAAAGCTAGTGTGCTTGTCTCCTGTGTTTCATATAATCTAGGTAACAAGCTGTGTGATTACAAGAGCTTATGGAAGCTTTTCTTCTTAAGAGAGCCGAGTAAAAGAAATCCAGTGCCAAAATACTGAGTGTTAATTTTATGACATAATTTCCCAGAAGTTATTTAAAGTGACTTAAAAGGAAACGGTTCAATTTAAGAAGTCACAAGCAAAGACCCACAGACATTATTTTACCAATGAGTTTGTTGGTCAGAGTATGGCATTCTTTTCAGATATTATTGTGTATGTGGAAGTAGAGTGAGACAATAACTCTATTGCTAATACTGAGAAGTAGGATACCACAACGTCCCTGGGAAAAGGGAGGTATGAGATCAATGAAGGTAAATAAGAATTCAAATCAAAAAGATCTTTGGAAATTGTGCCACTCTCGCACCTCATTCTCAGAAATCTATTTAATGTGTTAATAATAGGTGATACAAGATTTTAAAATTTACTCATGGTGATATTTTAAACTTCTTAGAAAAACTCATTTTAATATTTTATTTCTATATGTTGTCTTTGCATCATAAGAAAAAGTCTTTTTTTAAAAAAATTTTTATGAGACTGACAGTTTTGATCCAGAGGAAATAAAAACTAGAACATATATTTAAAATTCTGGTTGTTAGGAGAAAATTAAGATTGGACTAAAATATGTTGGCAAAAATGACATATGATTACAAAAATTACTAATTTTATATTAAATAAAGATAGTAATAGATAACGTAGAAAATAAGATAAGGCACTCGGGAATTATTCATTATTTAATCTAAGATACATTCACTAATAGTGATGATCCTCATGGGAAACTGTACTAATGTTCTTACATTATAGTTTATAATGTATCAGATGGTCATTTATATATAAAATATAAATTCAAAGCAATTCATAAAAACTTGAACAATACAGTTTTGAATATACCTTTCATGTATACATGAATTAATCTATGGTCAATTTTCAGCATAATATAGCGTCATGATGCAGTTAATACTGCAGTATATTACATGTTGCTCTTAACCATATAATGGTGGTAAAACAAACTTTCAATTGTGGTAACAACACAGTGGAAGGGCTACCGAGCAAAATACACATACCATTTTTCTATTCTAATTTTCAGTTACAAATTAGTTGTATATTATTTTAATTTTTAAAGTCTCATGTCACACTTCTATAAAGCAAACATTCCAAAATTCCTTAATTACATAAACTTATTACTTTAAAGTCCACTTTATGGGTTGGGGGATGGCTCAGCTGATAGAGCACTTGCCTTGTAAGTACAAAGGGTTCAGTTTGATTCCCAGAACCATATTGTTTTAAGAAAGAGCCAGGTAAAATGCTGTAAGCTTTAACCCCACTGCTGGGCATGTAGAGACAGGGGGGACCCAGAAGATTACTAGCCAATCAGCCTAGATGGGAAGCTCTGGACCTATAGGATCTATAGGAGATGCTGTCTCCGAGGAGGTGGACAGTTATTCTGATATGGCACCCAAGGATGTCTTCTGGCCTCTGCATTTGTCTGTAATAATTACTAAGTACTTGATTATGTTGGTATTTATCAATATTTTTCTTTCTTTCTTTTTGTTCTTTTTTTTTTTCGAGACAGCGTTTCTCTGTGTAGCTTTGGTGCGTTTCCAGGAACTCACTTTGTATCCCAGGCTGGCCCCAACTAACTGAGATCTGCCTGCTTCTGCCTCCCGCGGGCTGTGATTACAGGCCTGAGCCACGACCGCCCGGCTATATTTATCAATTTGTTTTTCAGTGTTGGACATGTAAATTTCTAATACCACGCTCTCAGAATACTCATATTTATGAAAATCATTTTGACATCATGAACTTCCTATTGTGTGGGATTCTTACTTATTTTCCTCATAGGCTTTGGATGGGTGTCCTTAAGTGATCTTACCACAGCCACCTGAGCAGCTGGAAGTACAGGTGCAGCTCCAGGATCCTGCTGGTTAATTTTTTTCATTGAGAAAAATTGCTTCACATGATTTGAACTTTCTGAACCATGTTGTGAATTAGCATACTGCCTTTGAAAATAGCTGCATCCGTACACCTTAGGTGCCTGTTATAAACAGTTAATGAACTGAAGCAGAGGATGTGAGAAACTACTTGCAGCTTGCTACACCCCTAATGCTGCATTTTATGTCTTTACAAAAGTCAGCATTGTACCAGATTTCATTGTAAAACCTAGCTGCGATATACAAAGCTTCAATCATTTGTTTTGAACACACTTAATGAATTTATTATTGATGACCAAGGTTATATGACATCTTCAACTAGCAGGTAACAGTGATAACCGTGTCTTAATTGTAATAGTGAACACAGAACAGAAATATACGCCATATATATTTCTACCCCTCAAGAAAATTGATGTTGTGATACAGAAGGACAACTCCTGATCTAAAAAAAAAAATCAGATCTTGGAATGAGCAGGCAGAGAAATGTTTTCTGGAACTTGTCACACCAGAGACTGTCAGAGCCACCTAAAGACTCAAGTGGTGCTTCCTGAGAGAGAATTATGTCTTCAAGAAAGTTTTCTGGAAAATTTTATTTCTGGTGTAACTCCTTGCTTAAAACTTCAAACTGTTAGCTTCAACCTTCAAAAATGATTATTGAATGGGTCACTGTTGCCGCTCTAGCTGTTGATGTGAATCTGGGAGAGTGGAGCCTAAAAATGAGGTATACTAAAGTCCCATGTAGTAACCAACTTCATTCAGAGCATCAGACAATTTTTACTCTGAGGGTTAAGAAGAATCACATAAATAAGGTGTTCAATCATAAGAAGAAGCCACACATGGCAAAAACATGTTTTTTTCCAAGGAGGCATATGCATGCAAAATTCTATGTTCTTGAAGAAACTGAAGTCACAAGACTCTTATCTTGTTTTCTCATAGGCACTCAGAATTCCCCTCACATGACTCCATTCTGGGACTATGCTCGGACAGATTACCATGTTCTTGAAAGTGTTTTTAATACAAAACCTTCTGGTTACTACATTTACTAAATATCAAACAGTTTATTAAGTACTATGTAACAATTTTGAAGAAATTATATAGTAGAATTAGCTAACAAAGGAGCTTATTCACAAATACATGAACACTATTTGCTTCAGTTTATGCAGAGACAGTTAAATAAATATTTTAGGTTATATATTTGCCCATAATTAGGAGTTCATCATTTTTTGCTGAGATAGTTACTTGTAAACATGTAAATTGTCTTATCCAGATCTCATTCCTTTATTGGATGTAGAACGCTTCCATCTTTAAGATAACTGACTGAAGCTCAGAGGACTTTTGTAATTGTGTAATGATATTTCAAGGTAAATTTCAATATTAAGTAAGATGTCAAGTATGAATTTATAAATTAAAATTGTTGCTGTGAGTTTCTCTTAACATCCACTCTAATTTAGTGTAATATATTCAAAAGTAAAATCAATGTTCAAAATCACAAGCAAAGGGTGAAAAAATATCACAAATAACCTTATTGCCTTTCAATGTTACTTTCAAAACCTGCAACTCAAAACCACACAATGGATAATTACAAATACATGTTATACTAAGAATTTTATCAAGATTTATGATATATATCATGTTATAGTTTACATATATATGTTTGTTTGTTAATTCTAAAATATAGTTTTAATTTGAAGGCATGTTTTTTTTAATTATAGTGAATATTGTTAATTCTCATTCATCTATTTATCATACTGCTGATAGTGCTAATATTTATTTAGATGCATATACGTGAGCTTGCTTGTATGTGTTGTGTGTGTTTATATGTGTATGTGTATATGTGTGTGTTGTTTGTGTGTTTGAATGTATGAATGGGTATGCATATATATGGGTGTGTATATGTATAATAGGTGAATGTTTATGTAAGAAAAAGAGAGATCAGCACATTCTTATATATGTTTGTGACAATGTGAATTCTAAATAATTTTTGAATAGATCTTATATGTTATTTACAATTTTTCATTAATGTAGGAAGTGTATAACTATATACTTCTTGCTATGCCAGTTGAATAAACAAGTAGACAGCTTTATCAGCACTCCATTTCTTTTAGGAAATATCTAATTGTAAGACATTTTTCATATGGAGTTGGCGTCTTCGCAAGACTTCCACTTTGGTTTCAGCTTGGACCTCACAATCACTTATCACCTTTTCTAGCCTGATATTCTGTCCTCTTTCATGCTCCTTCTCTTTCTATTCCCCATCCTACCTGCCTCTTTCTTCATTTATTTGTGGGTGCTCTTTTATTTCTCTTTATCTGATCCACTCTTCCTTTCAATACTTTCAGGAAATACTTAAAGAAGTTACAAGAAAAGTTTAAAAAAGCATAACCAACAATACAATGAAATTTCAACAAACAGCATAGACCAGGACATACTCATTGACAGAGAATTTTGAAGCTTTATAATCCTTCTTTCTCATTTCTAGGGAACCAATATACATCACTGCAAAGCACAAACTTGTGCTGATTGTGCTGATGTTTTTTCCAGTGTGTGTTCAGCAGAGACATCATGATCAGTACTGTCTTAACAATGGAACTATGCTGATGTGGTATAGATTTATCATGGGCAAATTGATGCACACATAGCTATCTACATAACCGCCCCCCTCTCTCTTTCTCTCTCTCTTTCTCTCTCTCAAATT